GTTCTTATTATATTTTTTCTTATATATTTTTTCCCCCAGCTTCTCCTGCTCCTGTTATTTTTTTTTCTTTTAATTTTTTTTTTTAAACTCACTGCACTCCCAATGCCGCAGGCCGGATGGGGGTGGGGGCGTCTGCCCAGGCCAGGCCCCTACCTACAGGCCATCCAGGGCTGCTGGCTCTGGGCTGAACCCCACTTCGCTTCCACATCCCCCCATTCAATCAAGACATCCCCCTCTAAAGCTTTTCCTCTGTAGGTACCTATCACCCTGGACCTTTCATCCTAAGGGCCTCCCCCTCATAAAATGCCCCCCGCCCTGGGCTCAAGGCCCTGGCCAGCCCTTCCTCCCCTCCCCCCTACCTGGCCCCTGCTCACTCCCAGAGCCATTTGGCTGATGGTCAGAACTGTCCGTCAAGGGGGCTCTGAGCCCCTGGGGACCCAGATGGGAGGAGGGAAGGGGAGAGGTCGAGGGTCAGGCCACGTCCCCTCAGCTCGGCTCTTTCCCCTCCCCCTTCTGAACAAAGGGAGCAGCGGCCTGACAGTGCTGGGGGGGGGCAGCCTGGTACTCAGGGAAGCAGGGAGAGAGGCTGTTGGGATGGCCATGGGCAGAGGCGGGGTAGGGGTGGCCTGCCCCTCCCTGGCCCTCCCCCTGGGGTCAAGGCTAAGGTGATTCCTCAACCTCTCTCAGAGGCTGGGCTAGGAGGGGAGGAGAATCTGGACAGACAAAGAACAGGAGCCCCGGGGAGTTGGGGGCTGGGGTGCGCACCTGGGACCCGGGCAGTCCGGGCTGAGGGAGGGGCAGCAGGCACCTCCCTGGCTCTGGCTTCACCTTCTGACAACAGCCCTGCCTGCTGCTGCACCAACCCGGGGAACCCAGGGATACAGGGAACCTTTGAGTTTAAGCGAGACTGGATGGGACGGGGGCGGGGGGGGGGGGGACTGAGGCTCCGAAGGGGGACACAAAGCCAGGGTGGGTGTCTAGGATGGAGGCGCAGTCTCAGGAGTCTCAGGCCAGCCCAGAGCCTCTTCCTTTCTCCTCCTACCGAGAGATGCGCCTGGCCATGCTGCCCAGGTCTGGAGAGGCTTAGCAGGGTGGCAGGCGGTAGAAAAGGTTACTGAGAACTGTAGGTGGGGAACTTTCTCCTCTCCGGCCGTGGAGTTGGAGAACCACAAAAACGAAATGGTAAACGTGGTCTGTCTCCGGCACTGGCCAGAAAGGGCATTTGGAAAAAGCAGGAAGGGGCCGTGGACAGGGCCTTCCTGAGAGTCTGGCTAGGGAAGGCTGGGGAGGGACGGTTCAGAGAGGTCGTCTTTCTTGCCCATGGTCACACAGCAAAGGAGAAGGAGTCACACTCCTTTCCATCCCCAAGCCAAAGCAGCACAGCCCCGAGCCTCCTACCAGCCCAGGACTATGGAAAATGGAGCCAGGGGGGTGGGGGGGTGGGGGCGGTATCAAGACAGTGAGCAGATATGAGGACCCCCCACTCCAAACCAGAGATAAAGAGCCAGCAGAAACAGAAAGAAACAGGCCAGTCTTCTGGGCTAAATTCTTCCACCAAGGTGGCTCTCAGGGAGAGGACGAGGGGGAGGACACGCAGGCCTCTTTTGGGGGGGGGGGTGGCTATCTCAAGCAGGCCCCTATAACCCTGCCAAGGAGGCCCCAGATGGGCCGAGGACTATAGGGGTCCCGCTGCCCTCCCCCCAAACCTCCCCTCCCTTCTCTCCCTCTCTTTCTCGGCTGGCTATCGACCGGGGCTGTGACATGGTAGATCAATACGGCAGGGATATAAAGCCGGCTGGCTGCCTGCCTGCCTCTGCCTCTCTCTCCCTGCTTGCCTTGCTTCCCTTTCCCGGAGCCGCACCCAGGCCCCCCACCTTCATGTACCCCTTTCCCAAACCTCTGAGGGGCCAGGGCCCCTCACCACGACTCCCCTGCAGCGGGAGAGCTTAGGGAGGCTGAGAGCTTGGAGAGCCAGGAGAGGGGGTGAGTATGGGAGTGGGTAGGGAAGCATGTGGGGATGGGGCCACAGGGGCAGGTAAGGGGGCCGGGATGAATCTAGGGGCAGTCCCCCGGGAGAAAGCAGGTAGCCCCTCAGCTGGGAGCAGCTCCGGCGACGGGGATGGGTCTCTGCGAGGTGGGCAGAGGGCAGCTGGGGGCTGGGAAGCCATTGTCCTGAGCCCCTGGGACAGAGGTAGGCCTGGGGAGGGTTCTGGAGTAAGTCAGGGTACACAGATGCAAAGAACAAGGGGGCACCCCCAAGCAGACTGTTGCTCACGCCCAGAGCCCCTGTGCCCCATGCTGGGGAGTCTGGCTGCGAACAACAGCTGCCGTGGCCTCGCCCCGGGCCTGGCCTGCAGGTGCGTGCCGGGCCGGGGGCTCGCGAGGCTCCGGGGAGGTTCAGGGAGAGCTGCAGCGCCCAAGGTGTGTCCGTGTGTGGCTGGGTGGCCGCGGCCTCCCAGGTCTTGAGCTCTGTCTGAGACTGTCCCCGTGTGTCTCAGCTACTGAGTCACACTGTGTGGCCGTGAGTCTGGGGGTGTGTCAACGGGACTCAGCGAGTGTGCGTGTGCCTCCACGAGGGCCTCCCTCGCCCCGGCTCGCCCAAATATCCGTGTGTGCCCCCGAGGACGCACGGACGCATCCAGGAGCCGCCCCGTGACCCCGAGCCGGTGGCGTGGCGGCCATGTGCTGCTGGTCCCAGGAAGCCTGTGTGCGCTGCTGTGCGGAAGCCGAGCCCTGGCGAGTATCGACGAGGCTCAGGGGACCGGGCGAGGGACCTGGGGTGTCCCGAAGTGTGGCCCCAGTGCCGGGGTCAGTGGGAGGCTGTCTCTGTGCCGCACAGAGGCGCCTTCTTTTGGTCGGCGTCAGAAAGCCCGAGCGCTTGCTGTGTGTCTACGTGACTCCGTGTCTCCCCGCACGCCCACAGCCCGTGTGTCCACCATGGTCAGGAGGCTCTGGGTGTGTCCACACGCGTGTGTCACAGTGACCTGAGCCCACGACAGTGTCTGGGGGGCCCTCTGGGTGGGGGAGGGTGACGAGGCAGCCTGCTCGGGAGCTTCATGTCTCCAAATCCCAGGGCGCGGCCTGCTACCTCCTTCCGGCCCGGCCAGAGGCCCCGGCCCCCTCCAGGATGGACCCCCGGGGTCCCGTCCCTCCCCTGCGGGCACTGGCCCTCTTCTCCTCTGCACCCCTGCTTTGGCAGAGGCCACCTCACGGCCTGCTACCTCCTTCCGGCCCGGCCAGAGGCCCCGGCCCCCTCCAGGATGGACCCCCGGGGTCCCGTCCCTCCCCTGCGGGCGCTGGCCCTCTTCTCCTCTGCACCCCTGCTTTGGCAGAGGCCACCTCAACTCCACCAAGCGACCTCCGTCCCTCCCAACCCCCCCAGCGCCACCCGCTCCCCCCGCCCTCCCCCCACCACAAGTCCAGTCCAACCCAGACAAAAGCAATTACTCCTGAGGTAGGATGTGAGTGTGGGTGTTAGAAAGAGAAAAAAAGGGGGGAAGGGAGGGGGAGCGAGACACACACACACACAGGCAGGGCCGGACAGCCAGAGACCCACAGAGAGCGCGAGAGAGACAGAGATGAAAGAGACTCGGAGGGACACCGGAGGCCAAGGCAGAGAACAAGAGCAGAGGAAGGGCGAGCGGAGGGACACGGAGGGGACAGGAGGACACAGAGCGGGAGCCCGTGACGGAGCCGGGATGGAGAGGAGGGGGCGAGGCAGGAGGCCGGCACGCGCAGGCAGCAGAAGGGCTGGAGAGGCCCAGGGGAAGCCGCTGAGCACCCGGGGATAAAAGACCGGACACAGGGACAGCCGGGCAGAGGCCCTGGGACAGGGCTGGGCTGGAGGGAACCGAGGCAGGAGCCGGACAGCCACGCGAGGAGCGCAGGGACGGGGAGCCAAAGTGGCCCCTCCGCTTCGCTCACGCTCTCTCCCTCACACGCACTCGAGCCCCAGCGCCCAGACGCTGCCCAGACGGGAGGTCAGGGGCCCTCCCGGTGGGTCCTCCGGCCCCGGGGTGGGGGTCCACCTCGGGCCCTGCGGGGGCACAGTCCCCAGGTCCAGGCCGCACTGTCCCTCCCCACCCACACGGGGCCTGGGCCGGTTCCTTACTCAGCAGGCAATGATAAGGTGGCATTCAGCCCTCATCTTCTGGGGGACCCCCCGCCCCAAGTCTGCCTTCTCTTCACAGGCCGCACGGCCGCTTTTCTCCACAGCCTCGGGGGTCTCTCGCCGCTCGCCTGCTGACTTTTTTGCTGTCCTTTCTCCGTTCTCCACAGCAGCGCCTCCTCTGCAGGCATTTCTCTGCCATGGGCTGGTCTCTGAGTCCCACCAGCCCCTCTCCCCTACCCCACTCCCCTCCACCCTGCCTCTGGAATCTCCGCTCTCAGACAGCCCCACTGCCCTCCGTCCACAGGAACCCCAAGGGGAGGAGGGCTGGTGGCTGTGCTATCCTGGGGCGGGGTGGGGGGGCCCCCTTTCTTGCTTTTCCTTCAAGCACCTTTCTCCTTCCCTGTTCCTCAGGCCCCTCTCCCCGCCCGCCAGGCCCATGGCTCCTATGCACTGACCAGAGACGCTGACCCCCACACACCCTACACGCAAGCCTGGAAACTGAAAAAAAGATGCAGCCCTGGAGGATCAGAGAGGCCAAGACACAGAGGAAGAGCAAGAAAGGGCAAGAAGAGGCCAGATGGAGGTGGAGCCTCGCACAGGCCAGGAAGAGGAGCAGGAGGAAACCAGAGGGGAGCCCGGAGCCCCGCAGGGCGCCCTGAACAGGAACGGTGGGTGGGGGTGGGGCACTTGCTGCTAAGAACACCCAAGATCCCACTCTGTGGCCTGCACACGGCTTGCAGCCCTGGACATGCCCTCTGCTTGAAGACGGGGCCAGTGCCTGTTCTTTACCCCTGGGGACAGTCGGTGGACATTTGCTGTGGGCCTGTCAGGGGGCCAGGGACACACCTGTCCCCCAGGTGCTGACATGAGTCCTGTTTTACAACTTGCATCTCTGAGTGGCCTGTCTCGTGGCTGACAAACTCCTGGTTCTGAGTGGGTGACAGCTGTCCCCGCCCACTCAATGACAGCAAAAGCAATCCCAGGGAATAGGACATCCCCTGTCACCTCCCGGCATCCCGACGGCAAGCGGCCCCTTGCGTGCCAAGCCCACACCCTGCGAGGAGTGCCCCTGCGGGCTGCTCGCCGGGGCGGCCCACACTCCAGGAGCCTCCATCTGAAGCTCCCCCCTGTAACAGCCTGCACCCCATCCCGAAAGCCCACAATTGGGGGTATCTAGCTGGAGGATGGGCAAATCCATGACTTCTTGGCTTCGGCAAGCGGAACGCCTGAGCTGCACCCCACCACGTCACACCCCCTCTCATGCCGGAGACGCGCCCACCTTGCGCACACCTCTCACACCTGCGCCGCCCCGCAGTCCCAGCCTCGGCCCAAGTCACCTCACCAGAAGAGCAAAGGAAGGAAGCCTGGATCCACACTCAGCAACAGCTTCCCAAGCATCCCCAGGGCCCGGGGCGTCGGGGGCACCCTGGCACGCCCTGTGCTTCGGTCTGTGTCTCCCTTGTGGCCCCGTGCCCGGTCCACACCCAAAGCCTTCAAGTCTTTCTGTGGAAGGATCAGAGGGAGACCAAGTGTGGGCACGGGCCCGCCCGAGGCACTGGAAGGCCCTCAGGTGCCAGCTGGCTGTGGGGACCCTGAGGCCAGGCCAGCACCTACAGGACCCAAGAGAAAAAGAGCCGACACTGGTCACCCCTCCCCACCCCCCGACTGTAACTTACTCCTCAGCTTCTTCTGACTGTCCAGGGGTCCTCCTCACACCCCTCCTTCCAACAGGTCCCCGGAGCCTGTGTCACCCTGTATCCTGACCTACCACCCTGCAGACCGGTTGGCTTGGGTCGGCGGTATTTGTGTTGTCTCCCCACGAGCTGGGGGGCCCTCAGAGGCAACCCCTGTGTCACCAGACAAAGCCTGACACACAGACAGCCCCAGGGGATGTCAGCTGAAGGAATAAATGGACGGATGTGGGTTCCCGTGTCCGCGCTCATTGTTTTAGGCATCCGACAAAGACTTACCAAGCACTGGCTCTGTGCAGGGGACTGGGTGGGGGCAAATATGGGACGGTGGACGGCTCCCCCACCACAAGGCTCATGGGGAGAGCCCACACATGATCAGAGATAACAGTGCTCAGGAAGTGGGTGGAGGCAGAGGAGGGACCCCTGCCAAGAGCGGGGAGGATCTGGCAGGGGTGAGGGGAGGCCACCCAAGGCCCAGCCAGCACCTCGGGGAGGAGGGGCCTCACTCACCCTGGGCCTCCCTTCAGCTCTGACCACAGGCTCCCTCACCTTCCAAGCGAGGTTTTGTAAAGGCAAGCTGGTGGCAGGGGAGGCAGAGAGAGGCGGCGGCGTGTGTCCTGGTTGTGGCTCTGTCACAAAACTACAAGGCTCGGAAAGCACGGCATCCTTCAAACACGCCTCCTTGGGAGCCCGAACTCCTCCTGGAACCTCTCAGATATTTTGGCAACAGCTGTCAAGGCCAGTTTGCAGATTTCTTCCTGCCCTGTCATCCCCCGGCAAGTTACCCCAATATCCAACCCCTTCGCTGCTAAATGGACCAGAGTAGGTACCTGATAAGACTTTATATGTACCCCCCAAATCAAATGCACTCGCAAAGCATGAAGATACCCCCTAATTGCCAGGAGAGTCCAAGCCCTTGCTGGGCTTAGGGAGGAGAGAGGGGAAGGGACAGACCCTGGGCCGCTCTCAGTCCACATCTCCCTCCGCCACTCACTTGCTGGGTACACGGAGGCAACCTGCCTTCCCCCTCTGCGCCCCCGTTTCCTTCTCCTGTCACAGGGGATGAACATGCCCGACACAGGCTGGTTGTGGGGGCTTACCACAGGGCCCAGCACGTAAGCGGCCCCTAAGAAATAACAGTTTCCTTAGCAGGAGACAACCACTCCCTGGCACTTGCCACCAGGTCTTCGAGACCTTGGGTTCCTCACAAACAACCCCCCTCACAAACACCTATTTGAATGCAAAGAACTGAAAGCAGAGATCTGACAGCGACTTCTACCAACTCTGAAACATTGTTCCTTTTAAAGGCCTCTGTTACTTTAGCCCAACTTGCAGGCACTGCTCAAAGCCCGCCTCTGGCCCCCAAAGGAATACTGAATCCTGGATGCTCCTTGACCTCCCCTTCAACATCAAGAGCATCAGAGGAGGTGAGGGTTCCTGAGGCAGCTGTAACTCTCGTTCCTTGGAGAAAACACTCTTCCCATAGTTCACATCTGCATCCCCTACGGGCTAGAACAGGGTCCATGGGTGAGTTTTGGGGGGAGGAGGAGGTCTGTGAACATGCTGAGGTTGATGGACAGTTGGGAAGACATAGGGATGTGTTTCCTGGGAACAAGTCTATTTTTCATTTTGCGAAGCTAGAAATGTACAAGCCAAAGGTCGATCAAAATGTGTGATTTGGACCACAAAGTCGAAATTTTGCATCAGTAGCCGGCATTTAAAAATCAGGAGATTTCACATAAAAGTCTAGAGTTCTAGCTTCTCTTTACAAGCAGAAAATCTGACAAGTGAGGGGTACCCTCTGCAAGGGGCAGCCGAGGGGACCAGACCCACACCGAAGCATTTTCTAACCACCTGGGCCCAAGCCACACAGCAGGTAGGTGCAAATTCTGTACGATGGCCACGAGGACCCCTGGGTAGGAGGCCTGTGAGTCTCCCCAAGGCCCCGAGGCCTGCTTGTTTAGAACAGGGGTGGCAGAACCAGGCCTCTCACCCCAGAGGCCCTGCCTCTGTTGCCCCCCCAAAGATGCTCACTGCTGGGGTCTCACCAAGCTGAGTGGAGCAAACCCCAGAGCTAACTCCCACAGAGTTGAGCCTCTGAGGACCTCCAGCTTTCTGGGAGTCTTAGGGGTTCCTAGGGGACCTTATAGACCCTTGCTAAATTAGGGGAGCTCCCAGCTATATTTCGAGCTCCTGCTCCCTGAGGCTACATGTTTTCATGTAGTAACTTCTTTTGTCCTGTGTGGCGGGTGCTATTAAATCTTCCTGACAGATGGAGAAACTGAGGCTCACATCACTGGCACTAGGCTCTGGAATGGGAGTCTAAGCTGCTGCCCCACTGGCCTTCTGTGCACAGGACAGCCCCGGTGGCTGATTCTGCTCACGATTCCACTTACAGACCAGGAGATGGAGGTGCTGGCTGTCCCGAACCACACACAGTTAGGAAGAAGAGAGCAGAGACTCAAAAACAGGTGTGCTTGACCCCCAGCGGGGAGCTGAGCCTCCAAGTCCACATCATCTTCCCCCCACTGTGCCCAAACACTCGTCAGGAGCAACCCCCACAGTCACCAACACCCAGAACCACAGGTCTGGCCCAATAAGCTGTAGGACACACGGAGGCTGCGCATGCGTGAGTCACAGGCGTCTGCAGGAGGGCAAGAGCAGCTGAGCAAGGGCGCCCTGGGGGAGGGGGCCAGACAGTGGGTGGGAAAGCAGGGGCTTCCCGGGAGAGGAGGAGCCAGAGCCCAGCACTTCAGCGGGGCTCTGAGACAGCTGTCCTTACCTCTTGGGCAGACGCAGCGCAGCTAATACATTCAGGCCACCAACCCGGTCCAGGTCCAGCCGAGAACCTGCAGAGAGAGGAGACAGGAGAGTCGGCATCCTGGGGACATCTCGGCCTTGCTGGGGCTCCCAGGGCTCGGCAGGGGTCCCTGCCCTGCGGTGCCATCTCGAGCTGCATGCTGGGGAAGGCGGAGCCCTGGGCCTGGGACGCAGCTCCTCCAGGCACCTGCTACTCTTTGGCACACAGTGCCCGGGCACGGGGAGCGGAGGAGCCACACAGAAACCGGATTTGCATGCTCTGAGCCTCAGTGTCCCCATCTCACAGATGGGCACACCGGGGCGCAGGGGCCTGTCCTTTTTGAACAACTGCTTTTCCCATCAGACTGGGAGCCCCTGAACGGGCCGGGACTGTGTCTGACAGCTTTTGCCTCTGGCAGAGGGCCCAGAGAATGCAAGGTGCTCAATAAGTATGTGAAGGGTAACCGAGTGAATAGGGGCCCCACGGAGGAATTAATGAATTAAGCAACCATGCATCTCCAAGGACTTCCGGCAGGAGCCGATGAAAAGGGAATTTAAAAGGGTTACTTGTTATTAGGTGTCTGTGTGCTGCAGGGAAGATGGAAATAAAAGTCACGGTGGCATTTCTGACTTGTGATCATTCATTTATTCATTTGGTTAATCAGTAAATATCGAGGCTTCTCTGAGGGCTCTGGGCCAAGGATGGGAGGTGCAGCGATGGATTAAGCAAAATCTCTCCCTGTCTACTGTGGGGCTCACAGGCAAGCTGGAGTAACCAAATAACAAGCTCACGCCGCCAGGCTGGGGTAGGCGGAGGGCCTGCGGGGGGGGGGGGACGGGCACCGCCTGGACTCTCCATCACACCAGTGCTTGGGTCTCACTAGGCGCAGGGCGTGGGGGGGGGGGGGGGGGGGCACGGGAGGGCAGGGGAGGTCTAGGGAGAATGTAGGGTCCATACCGAGCCTAAACCAAGTTTAGTCGGGCAGAGGGCAGGTGGGCACAAAGTACAGCAGGCCTGTGCTGGCCCGGAGGAGGGAAGGGAAAGACAGTGGGAGGAGAACAGGGCTGCACCCACAAGGCCTGGCCGAGCAGCTGAGGAGACTAGGACCCAGCTGTCTACAGAAAGGTCCCAATGTATGCTGAGCGAAGATGGCGAGCAGGGAATGAGTTAGGGCACAAAGAGACCTGTCCCCTACGAGTGTTTGTCAGCCTCTCTGCTGGCTTGGGAGGAAGAACAGCTCACTTTAATGAGGGGCTGGCTAGGAGGCAAAGGGGAGTGGCTTCCATGGATAGAGCCTCATGAGAGGAGCAGAAGGAGCCTGGACTCCTGTTTGGCTGGCATGGAGCAAAGCTGTCTGATCCTGCCTTGCTGGGGGCATTAGGACAGTCAAAGAAGCAGGCAAGGAGACACGGCCCAAGGAGACCTGGCCACCCGGTGAGCACAGAGGAGTGGCCGCTGAGCTGCGGGGTTCAGAGAGGGCGCGCCCTGGGCGTGAAGTCACTGGCAGCAAGCGTCTGCCTCTGGAGGCATCCTGAGTGAGGAGGCCAGAGCAGGACGGGAAGACAGACCTGTAAGTTTGGCGGAATACTTTTTGATCTCAAAACAAATCTGCTGGTACAGATGGCAAAGCTGAGGCCCGGGAAGAGCCAAGACATGGAGAATTAGTGGAGGCAGAGCTGAAGTTTATGGAGGAGAACGAGAAAAAGGGAGACTGAGTGAATGGGGAGAGAAATGAGATAGATAGACAGGTAGGTAGATAGGCAGACAGGTAGACAGGTAGGTAAACAGACAGACAGGTAGGTAGGTACATAGATAGACAGACAGACAGGTAGACAGACAAACAGGCAGGTGAAAAGATGGGTGATCTAGAAACCAAGAGGAAGAATGAGGAATCCACAGTCAGAGAGACCAGAGAAAAGCCCAAATGGTACAGAAAAAAAGGGGGGCAGGAGGCTGGTAAAGGAACCAAAGGGGTCTGCCCAAATCCACCCTCCTGCCCCTTTTGCTCTACCTTCGGGGTAGAAGGGGACCAAGACCCCTGGTTCCTGGGGGGAGGGAGGAGCTGGGGTTTCTCCCCCTCAGGGGCTTCTCCCCCCCAAACCCCGCCCCGGAGCTAATCAGCGGCTGTCATCTCCACGGTGAGGTCTTGGTTAAGGAGATTTAGGGCTGGGATCAATAGGAAATTTAAAAATCGATGCAGCGCGCAGGGCAAAATCGATGGCGTTTAATCGCCTTGCCGATTCCCAGTCAAAACAATTAGCCGCGCTGAGTGTTGAACACGGTGGCGACACGGCATTAACCGTCAATATTGGTGTAAGTGATGGCGGGGCGGGCGGGAATCCCCGGCCTCGGAGGGCCGCCTCGGACTGCGCCTTCGGGCTGGGGTCTTCCCCAGGCAGCTCCCCCACTAGTCTCTGCCCTCTTCTGCCCCGG